TAAAGACAGAGTATATTGCTCATATCTTTCATTTATGCAAAGCTTGTTTCAGGTAATATTTAAGATTCCTGTTAAATATCGTATCAAGCTTTTGTTAGAAAATGCACAATTAAGAAATAAGATTCCGAGCTCTGAAATTCCTGTCATCAATCAGAGATTCCAATTTGCATATAGAGGACACTAAACGTGGCAAAAGCGATGAAACTGAATTTGTCTGATTGTCTGACGTCTGTGTACCTGGGGGAAATCAATCGGGCATAATTACAGGTGATGAAAGTGCAGGGGGCTTGGGAAAATTGGTGGTATGATTGTGGGGCTGATGGCTCGGTTCACCTGCCTGCGGACGGGTAAAGTTTTCCGCCTCAGAATTTTGCAGTTTTGCACGCCGACAGTGATGGAAAGCTATATTGATTTTTGTCCTTGGGTGGGCGGCATGTGGAAAATGCAAAAGGGGCGGTGGCTGTGCCTGTCGGGAAATGCAATTTCCGCCTGCTCAACGTTAATGAGCATTATTAATTGGGTTGCACTGCCGAGATTGGATATCGATGCTGAAGTATTTAATTAAGCTCAAAATTTAAGCATGCATAATTAAAGGCGTATGGCAGAAAGAAAGAGGAGAGAAATCAAAATGAATTTTAAAATGGACAAGGCTAAGCTGAGGTAGTTAACAATTTGAGTTCAATTTTACTTTCCCGAATTGCAATGCCAAAACTTAAACCAATGACCAGCTGAGCTTCGGTGTTAGTTTTGACAGCTCATGCTGTTAAACATGTCAAAATATAAAGCGGCAGCAACAACAATCGAATTTGTTCATAAAACCCATAAATAACCATAATAAACAATAGCAGGCGAGCCAGCAAGCCGATCAATATCGACCTTGGGCACATTACTTGTGAACCAAAGGTGAAACGGAAATTTGGAAAATATTTAGCCATCGATTGAGGGTTGGCACACATTACGAACAAGTGAGGTCAGAGATTGGGCAGGAAATAGAGGTCAGAAAGGCTTACAAACCACTATGTTTGTACAAAATAAACGCAAAAAAAAAAAGTTGAAATGTGCAAGAGCATGCATATAGATGTAAAGCGTGTATCTAAAGATTTTACCATTTAAATTTTATTATGCCTAACATAAGTATGGAAATTTGATGTGTTTCTGGCATGTCACCACCCACACAACACTTATGTGTGCAACTCCCAAGTGAGTTCTGATTTTGATCTTTGATCTCAGCAGAAGCGAAGCCACTAAATCATCCATCAAACGAATGGGAGCTTTGTGCAATATTCCACATTGCCTCTGCTGCCGCCACTATTCATCATAAAAAACGATCGCAACACTTTAAGAACTTAATTATGTTGGCCATTAGACGAAGAGAGATGGAACCAATGGGAAATAAATAAGGAGGGAAGCAGGCGAACTTACAGGGGCCGCATAACTTGGCTAATTGCCACACGCGGTGGCTACCAGTGGCAGTGGCCGGCCCAGCTTCTTGATTTTTCCCCTCTTTCTGGGCCTGCTGACATATTTGCCTAATGGCCTCGCATAGTTCTTGGCCATAAGCGAGCGACAGCACGATGAATCGGTGGCAGAGTTAAAGTTTCCCCCATAAACAAGAGCTGCAAGCTAAAAAAAAGACGAAGTTCAATAAAAAGTTTGGCATGCTAAGAAGTTTGCGGTCCCTTTGGGAAGAGGTTGCTGGAACGCAGAGGAGGGACCTTCTGGCCTAATGACTTTTAGCCGAGTTGCAGCGGGCCACGTTAGTACGTGGCATAGTAAAAGGCTCTCGCTTAATTGGTGCATTATTCAGCTAAAGTTGTGGGCTCGCCATTTTTTATCATTCGTTTATTCCAGTATTTGCTAACTTTTGTTCTGAAAAAGCTGAGGAGCGACATACAACGTGTTTCTATTATTTTTTCCACCACTGTAGATGCTGTCAAAAATATTAGTCATCTTAAATACTTGTAGCAGTTAGTTAATCTATTTTAATATGAATTTTAGTCATATTAGTTGTGGCACATAGATGAATAGCTTCAGAGTAGCGTTAGTCATATTAAATAGTTGAGGCGTTTGTATTAATAGTAATGCTATAAGAAAAATGTTCTTTTACACAAGTCGTGCTATTGAAAGACCACCGATTTGTTTACAGTCTACTTTCTATGTCTAAAAGTAATTATTTATATTTAAAATCTGGGCATTCAAGCTGTATACCCCTTTCCCAGCCAACAATTGCGACTTGTAAACATTTTCGCAGCGCCCCAATCTTTTTGTTTTACATTCGGCGGAAAACGTTTGCTTAACCTTTAACTTGATTGTCTAACGATTGCATTGTCTTCGGCGGTTTCGCTCCAGGTCAAGCTGGTGGACGTGGAGAAGGTGGAGTGGCTGAATCGGCGCTCCTACAGCGCCATTGGACTGCTACTGGGTCGCGAGGGTCGTGTTCTGCTCCGCTGCGATGATGGCCTCGAGGATTGGTTCGAGCTGCTGGAGGTGAGTGGCCATGAAATGGCTAAGAGTAGAACTAACTGGGCTCATTAGACAAGAAGTTTCTGCTTGCAATTGCCTGCAGAAACCATATAGATCCACGGAGCAGTAAATAATGCCTTATTTCGCTGTAGGAATGCACCATGACCTCCAAGGAGCGCAGACGAGTGCTGAAGATCGCCCAAGGACCCAGATCCCGCGCCTCCTTGGCAGCTCCCGTTTCGCACGCCTCGCTGCAGTTCCAGCACTTTGGACTGGGCGGCACCTACTCGAGTGCCCTGGATGACTGGCTGATGAGCAATGGAACTGGTGGCTTGGCCCGCCACAAGATCGGTGCCGGCAGCCTGAACGGCTATGGCGGCGCCAATCCCTTCCTGTTCTCCGATTCGGTGCCGGATCTGAGTGCTCTGAACAACGAAAACCACAACCACCATCTGAGCGGCATCAGCACGAACCACTCCACGCCGCAAAAGATACCGCACCACAGCAATGCGAATCTCAGTCGCTACTCCAATGGTTATGTCTCGGCCCAGAACAGCTTCACCCAGACCGGCGCACTGTACGGCTCGCCCAGGAGGATCTTCATCAACAGCAGCTTCGGCTCCAACCAGGTGGTGGATGAGGAGACCGAGGAGACGGAAGTCCAGCTGCGGCGACCCCGACTGTTCCGCGGAGTGAGCGCCACTCCCGATAATGGCAACGAACTGGACCGCGACTGGCTGTACCGCAAGCCCAGGGCGCCCACTGATATGAGGCACTCAGGTGGGTCCAAGAAAGCTGCTCAGGCAGCCGCTTCATCGTTTACAGCCTACTTATATTTGCCTGTTTGCGTTCCTAGTTCAACCAATGCTGCCCACTGGCGGCGGCAGCAACATGGGACTGGCCAAAACCGAACTGGACTGCTCGGCGCATGACAGTGGCCTGGACACGCCCCCATCGACGCACCGCCCCTCGAGCTACCGGGAGGCGAGCAGGGACAGCACGGAGACCAATGGCAGCTCGTCGAGGGGAACGCTGCTGAACAACTCGTCGCCGGGCGGCAGTTTTCGGGCCAAAAAGCTGAGCACGCAGGTCAGCAATCTCAACCAGCTGAACTCCCTGCACGGCTCGAGGTACTCGGTGCAGGATCAGCGCATCCTGAAGATGCGCAACAACGAGGAGGATCGCTGCGCCTCCATCAAGATGGCCAATCGCCTCAATCAGAACCAGGAGCCGGCCACCTGCGATCCCAACCAGAACCGCTACTACAAGAATGGAAATGGCAATGCCACGCCCCCCACCTCACTGACGCCCCAGCACACGCCGCAGCACAAGCTGATGCTGCTGCACCATGGCAATGGCAACGGCAACGGCAACTTGGGCGGCACCCTCAACGGCAACAGCAACGGACCGGATCGCATGAACGGATCGGCCATTTTCCGGGAGCGATACCAACATCCCGCCCTGGCCGCCATCATCAACGAGGCCCAGGGCCTTAAGTTCCGAGGTAGGTTTGCGGATGTGGATTTGTATGGGTTTGCTTGCATCACTCATCGTTCATCTGGCATGGTTATGGGATGGCTTTAGCACCTTGGATTGGTTTTGAGCACTTTTGTAGTTACCGGAATGCTCTGTACTTAGTTAAGATAGCTTTTATATTTACTTTCTACTCTCATTTGAATATGTTTTTAGCCCTAAGTGGGTTTCTGGTCATTGTAAGCTGCAACAACGTTATAATTTATTATTTACACACATCTTAAAGGGCATGATGTCTATTTTGTTGTAAATAAATCGCGCTCACTCCATTTATCATTTGGTTTCAACACAACACCTGCAAGCCCACTTATAACGTATACTTTTACCACTTTACTTTTGCATGCTTTCAATATAAAGAAGAATCTGAAAATATGTGGTAAACTTGCCCCAAAACCCGAGCTGTGCATGCAACACAAGGTGGCCCGAGGTGCATGAGAAGATCGGGCGGATCGGGCAGATCGGAAGATATAGATAAAGCCATCCTTTACCCACTTGTAGAGCGGGCCTACTCGGACAGTCAGCAGCGTCGCCTGAACAACAACAACGGACCCACCCCCCAGCCGGCCTCGCCCCTCGCCCAGCGGCGGGGCAATGGTGGACTCGGATCCGGAGTCGGATCGGGGGCTATATACGGCACGCCCACGCGTGTATAGCGCCTAAAGGTGTAAGGATCGTCCAAATCGCCGCACTAGTTTAGCAATGATGTCGACTTGATGCAAAGTTTGGAAATGATTTGCATATTTGCATAGAAAATACTTCAACGAAGGTAGAGCATAGTAACTAAATCTTAACTGTGTAGTAGTACTCGTAGTGTGTGTGCTCCAATGTCCAGCTTTATGTAAATGCTTAAATAAAATATACATTAGTGAAAAGCGTCTTAATAAAAGATAAAACAAAATGCCTGCTGTTTTTGGGAAGGAATTGCTGAAATATATGGGCAAATATTCTAATTGCTTAGTGCTTTGCCTTAAATTGAATGGTAAGAGTTGTGCTGTAAACTTAGCTGTTGATTAAAAATAAATGAGTAACTCCATTTCGGAAAGATGCATACTAGATTGAGCTTTGACCCAGTTTAGAAGATGCGGAGATCGAGCTTCCGGTGATTTGGGGAAAGCTTTCAGGATGTGCTGGCTGTGCAGGACTGCTTACGATTAAGCTCGCGTTGGGAGAGCTTTTCGGAAACGTCTTATGAAAGATGCAACACCTAAAAGCTCGCAGGCGCAAAGCTTCAGCCGAAAGAGAGGACGAGCTGCAACCCCTTACAGGATAATTCTGCGAGACCCCCTTGTGCGGGTACTGGAATGGGCTTTTCGGAGTCAACAATAAAATTTTCAGTCAGCTTTGAGACGCAGCAGCCGCAGCAGCAGCAGCAGCAGCAGTAGCAGCCACCGCTGCAGGATTTAGCGGTCGGTACAACCAGGAGCAGCAGGAGTAGAGAATTTTCGCGTCAGGATGCGGAGTCGCACGGAACTGGTGACCACCACTTTCGAGGAGAGCGACGAGGAGGACTTCAGTCCGGACGATTCCGACTCCGAGGAGGACTGGCGGCCCACCAAGAAACGTCCCTCCAAGCCATCTGGCTCCGATGGCGCCAGGAAGCGGAAATCGACGGCGGCCACTGCCACTGCCTCCAAGGCCAAGCGCCGGATGGCCAAGGTGAGCGACGAGGAGTCCGACGAGGAGGATGACCTAGAAACGGAACCCAGCGACGACGACTTTGACTTCCCGTCGGCCAGCACCTCGAAGCGACCCCAGAGTCTGCCCCCCAAGAAGCAGTTTGTTAAGTTGAATCAGCTGGACCTGCTGGTGAAAAAGTCCGATCTTATGGAAGACGACTGGCTGAAGAACAATCGCTTGTGTCTGTGGCGCAAGGACGAGCAGACGAATCTACTCCAAAAGTATCTGCGGGTCAAGTCCGCTGCCGGGGAGGAGGAGCTGCTCTTCACCTCCAGTTCCGTAGTGAGTGCATTGCACTTACATTGCACTATGATATCACATTAATATACTTAACGTTCTAGTACTCCAGCTGCGATGATCAGCAGACGAGCGACTTCATAGAGGTCAAAGTCAACTGCTTGGATCCCAACAATCGGCGCATTAAACTACACGACCTGGAGGCGGTCAAGAAAATCTCCGTGGAACTGCAATCTCAGCGAAATAGCAAATCCACATCTGACAAGGAAGACGATTCGGAGGCAGAGGCGGAGGAGGAGGAGGAGGAGGCGGAGGAAGCGAAGCCAAATGAAGCTGATTCTTAAAGAACTACTAAATATACGCAGAACTAACATTTTCATTAGTATTTAGAACTAGTTGGCCAAGTTAGCGTTAAACACCAAATTTCCCTATAACAGCTATGTGAAAACCACTTTAAATTTAATTTAGTAAATTAAAGAAGTAAATTAAAGAAGAACATCAAAGAAAAGGAAAACATTTGAAGATATCAAACTAAAGCTTTGGCGTTTCAATTGTAATACATTTATATTCAACAGTTCGTGAAATCCCTGCAAAGCTCAGTTCGCTTCCATGATTTTACGGTATATATGCCAACATATAAGCGAAATGCACTTTGTACAAAGTTGCACAGATCGTTTGTTGCTTCCATAGAAAGAGTCTAAAAATATGCACTTGGGGACGGTTATCGACGCCGTTCGCCTTTGACGGTCTTGCGTTTCTCCTTCTTTTCCTCGCGCAGTTGCTTTTGCTTCTCCCGGTCCTCCTTGTCCTTCTGCTTCTTGGCCGCACTGTCCATGCGGGCTTGCTCTCGCTTCTCCTTGGCAAGCGCCTGGACATCCGATTTGTTGGTGTTCTTCGTGAGCGTCCCGCTGTCGTCGTCGCTCTCCTCCTCGGAATCCTCGTCGTCCTGGTTTGCGACGGCGGTCTGCGGGACAGCAAGTGCGATCATTAGTTGGTAATAGTTGGTATACAAGGTTTGGATAGTAACCTGGGAGTATTGAGCTAGGATCTGCTGCTTGATGCGACGCTCCTCCTCGGTGTACTCGCGTTCCTTGGTTACGGCGGGTAGCAGCTTCTGTTGCTCCAGCAACTTGGCCAACTGGGCATTCACATCAATGTCCAGGCCCTTCTTGGGCGGATCATCGGCGCTGGGATGGCTCTGCAGCCATTTTTGCAGTATGGTGGCCACCAGTTCGTCCATGTTCGGCGCCTGCAAAGTTCACGGATGTTGGTGTGTGCAGACAGTGCCATTATTAAGCAAAACTTACACCTGTTTCGCTGAGGATGCCCTCGAGAGCCTCGATCTTTTCCTCTCTGGTTTCGTCGCCCTCCAAAATGCCAACGATGTACGAGCCGAAAACGTTCTCGTCGGTGTTCAGTTGGCGCAGCTGCTCGTTGAGCCAGCTCTGGAACTCGTCAGTGGCGCTCATGGCTGCTTGCTGTTTAGTTAAATACCATTAATGGAGGGTTTTTACTTGCGGAATAAACGGGCAGTGAGAAATTAGCCGCAAAAGGCAACAAGAAAATTGTGGAGCATGTGGCGCAGTGTTGGCAAGCGTTGGCGGGCGAACAGCTGTGGCAGCGGCACTGCCAACCGCCTGCAAAAATGAAGCAATAATATTATTACAGGAAAAAAAAATATTTTTTTTATATTATGCCAGGCTATTAAGTGAGCTCACAAGTTCATTTTTTGCTCCACACATTTTTCAATAATACCTCACAGTAACATTTGCAAAACTTGTTGCTGGCAACACTGACACCACTGTTAGCCAACTGTTAACCATCTGTTAGCCATCAGCGAACAGCTGTTCTCGCAGTGTTGGTAAACCGCTGCACAGCTTTTAGTTGTTTGCCGATTAAAAAATCTTTACGCTTTTTGTTTGAAAATGAAATAATAACTGCTGCGCGCTTGAAACTCTGTCAGCATTGCGAAACGTCCCCCTGGCCGCGCATCTCTTATTGTCTTGCAACAACAACCACTGGTGACGGACCTAAGCGCGTCAAATGGAGCCAATAGGCTTATAAACAAATTGTTTGTTTCTTGTGACTGAAATATGCATACGGTTTTGTGCGTGAATGTGCGTCCGTGTGTGTGAGATGTTAGTAAGCTGCGCGTGTGTTGGTGATTTTCGTTCGCCTTCTGATAACTCGCATCGCAGCAAACAGCGAAAGCAAAACCAAAAGCAAAAGCAATAACAAGAGCAAACGCGAGAGCAACAATAACAAATTGCAGCAACAACGTCACACGTCTGCGACACCTGCGTCGCTGTCGCCAAAGTTGTGTTGTTATTGTTACTGTTATTGTTGCTGCTGTCGCCGCTGTCGTCGCCTTCGGCTTTTGTTTATTTGTTGTTGCGTCGTCGGCAGACGCTATAAACAAAAAAGGGAGAGAAAGAAGCACGTAAAGAAGGAAAAGCGCACTAACACACGCACACACACACGCGCGCGTGTGCCGTTGGCAACAAGTGGAATATATACAAACGAATTTCATACATCCCCATGTGTGTGCGTGATTCCAAGTCGCCGAGAAATCCCTTCGTCAAGTCAACCTGAGGTTAGTGATAACCATTGGAAAATTCACTTTCCAGTTGCGGCCTTCCTGGAATTTCATATTTCCCTGATTGCCAAACAATACTCATTCATTGATAACTATTTAAAATATTAACCGAATAAGAGAATAAGTATATTTACCTTTGCAATAGAGAAATCCCTTCGTCAAGTCAACCTGAGTTTAGTGATACCTATTGGAAACTACACTTTCCAGTTGCGGCAAGCCTGGAATTTGATATTTTCCAGATTGTCTGATTGCCAAATAAGACTCATTCATTGATAACTATTTAAAATATTAACCGAATAAGCAAATAGGTATATTTATCTCTGCAATGGATTTGCAATTGGATTTAAATATTATCGATTTGTATTATCTTTTTGGAAAATTTAATTGAAATAAAGCTATAATTTTTCAAATATAAGTAAATCATATACCAATTCAAATCGAAATATGTTGCATAAGAACTGAATATCTAATATTTATTTATATTTATTTACTGCTTATTTACTTTCTAACCCAAAAAGCAACTGAAAAAATATAATTAAGCGTAACCACAAAGCTCAGCAGTTAAGAGAGTAAAGTTGTAGAACCTATAAATGACATTTCGTTAACAACAAATTACAGTTGAGATTTTTTCAATTTAAAAAAGCTTAGGTACATTTTCCCGAGCAATGTTGACTTATGCAACTTACTGGTAAAATGTACACATATTTTGAAAATCACATGCCGAGTAGAAAACAAAAAATTGAATTCAAACCAAAAAGACGTGAGCTTAATTACAAAAACAAACCAAAAAGACGTGAGCCTAATTGCAAAAACAAAGAAATGATGTAAAATGAACAAAATGTGGCATTGGTTGCACAAAGGTAAATATATTGATATATCTGTATGTTTGGCACTCCAGCTGCGAAATGCGGAATGGAGTTGGTCCTGCCACATTCCCAGCATCCTGCCACCCACTTGGCTCCTTCGCCTTATCGACTTGCCGCGTTGTGTTGACTGCTTTTTTAATGAGCCCGGCTTGTTTATGGGCTTGTAAATGTGAGTGTTTCACACTTTCCAATCCGTGTGCACACTCATGCACACACGCCTCAGTGTTTGTGTATGCATAATAAAAGCCATTAAAATTAAGTAATTGACGCAGGCAGCAAGCAGACGACACATGTTAATGGGCCGAAGGGGGGGCAGGGGGAAGCAGGCGGTGTTGACTGATTCAGCGGCAGCGGAAAGTTGAAAACCGGAAAATGAAAAGCACGGCCAAACGAGGAATGCCTCGGCCTGAAATGTCTATAAAAACTCGGCTTTTCTTCAACTTTTCGCTCTCTTTCGCAAGCTGCAGAATTCGTCATTAAATTGGAGACCCATTTAAGTTTCTGCGAGCTCATAAAATTCGCACGTTTCATTGCTTACGCTTTTGCAATCGAGCACAGTGGCACAAAGCTGTGCTATATAGGCAACAAAAAATAATTTTTACAAAATGCTTAAACGACTCAGTTAGTGCCATTGACATTAAAAAAACCCTTTACTTAGTGGTCATGTTTTTGAACTCATCGCTGTTGCGTTTTCAGCCCACTGTGCGTACTGGTTCCTTGTGTTTTACGGCTCTTTTTCACTGCCAGTTGGTAGTGGACACGCCCTCTTCGCCCATAAGAAATTGTGCTTAGCTGCTTTATGGCAGATTTGCTCGGTGGCTTTGCCCGTTGCAATGGGCCAAAATCGTGGCCCTAATTGCGCGATTAAATTCAATTGATTTCCATATCATAAGCGCGGGCTTGCGGCCATTCAATCAAATGGAAAACGCAACAAGTCAATTTGGCTTGGAAATTTAGACGTGAAGCTGCACTTCACATGGCCAAAACAATTCAGCCAACGGGCGGGTTTTGGGGCTTTTCGAGGACGCCACGCGGCGCTTATCCTGCAAAGCGCTTTCCATTATTGCTGCTCGTGGAATTTTCCAGGACCGCCCACAGTGAAAGTGAAGTGGTAATGATTCGTGTGTGTGGCTGTGATCTCTCTAATGCCATTGCTTATTTGGTTGCCGCTGGTTCCGTGTTGTGTGACTGGAAACATATGTGTGCTTTTTGTTTTCGAGTTTAGTATACATTGGCCTTAAATTAAGCTAAGCTACTCAGAAATGTTAAAATGTATCTGATTCTGGCCTTTTTATAGGACACAAAACAATGTATTTAGGGTTAGCAATGATTCCAAGTATGGAAAAGCACTATTAACTTGTTTTTCTATCTGCATTGCTCTGTCTTATTTCTAATAAAGCTGTTCGCATTTTGCTACAGTGCTATCAACACAATTATTTGTAATCATTAAGTGGATATCCTTATTTCACGAGAATTCCGCAAAAGGCCCGCTGTTATCTTAAGGAATCCATCTGTTACATTCCATTTGATTTTCGGGTCCTGAAGGATCCGCCGCTTCCAGTTGGAATGCTAAGTAGCTCCCTGGGTTCCCGAACCCGGACCATTTGCCCCGGAGGACATCGCCTGGCACTCAGTAATGTGATTGAAAAGGCTTCGTCGGTTGGGGCTGCCAGTTGGATACCATTGGGGGGCACCATGGGCGGTTGATGGATTCCATTCACGGTGGCCCTTGTATCCACTTAACTATTTCGATGGATTGGGGCATGTGGTTGTTGCTGCTGCTGCTGCTGCTGCTGCTGCCGCTGACATTTTCATTTTGCTACTGTTTTTCCCGCTGTCGCTTTTCCTTGTGCTGTATCATTGCCATGTCGTTGACAAATTGTCTAGATGGGTGGATGGATGCATGGGTTCGTATGGATCCGATCCCTGGGAACCCTGGCAACTGATGGAGGGGGAGCCCTTAAATGTGTGTCAATAAATGTGTGTTAAAAATACCGTTAGGCAGTAGGGTCATGGTGATATATATGGTGTTCCGCACAAGCGACTCCTGTTGCGCCCAAGTATCCCAGGCGGTGGTCACCTCCTACTCCGTGGACTCGCTTGTTCCGAGTCTGGATGCTGGCAAACAATTTTCAATTAAGCGCACAATCACGATAAATAAATCTCATTGTGCAAAAAGCCAGTTTCATCTACACGAGCCGAGCTGGGCTTAACGTGGATTTGCTCGCGATGTACAGCAATTTTCTGCGGTTTTTCATGCCACTAGCAGGGGGATTTTCCGTGGGCGTTGGGGGGGGCGTGGTGCCTGCAATAAAACTCCACCCAGGTAGCGACTTCATTGCAATCTTCACAAGCTTTTCCGCCAGCGATGCTAACACGCTTTTGCTTCTAGCTGATGGCCAATGCTCTGCCCACAAGCGGGCTTGTCGGTTTTAGCCAACTTAGTTGGTTGGCAACCCATGAATCATACAGTTAATTACTGCGCTACGGTGTGAACTCACATTAATGAATGCAACATTTGAGCAGGAGGTGAATGCAATCAATGTGAATAACCAACTTAATTGTATGAAAAGGTGTTTGTTAAAAACTAAATATGCGTTTTAGTACATTTTTGAAATGCAATTCAACTAGCAAGTCAATGATAATGCTCACCAAATATGTATGTTTATTTAATATAGCTACCATATAGGTACATTAAAAAGTATACCTTATATATTAGAAATTTGAAGAATTTGTTTTGGTAATATTTCGACTTATGTGCTTATTGGGATGCACAAATATAGTGCATTCGAAATTCGCATTGTTTTGGCCACTTTCCTGCCTTGTTTACGTTCCACTTCCTAGCCATAAATTCTGCGGCTAAAATGGCAAGTATTGAGAGAAATTGAGAGAAGCGGAGCGCCAGTGAGCAATATGTTTTTATAATGCTGATATATACGCTCGGATCGCAATTTATGAGCTAACCAAGAAATATTCATCTAACCGATTGCTGCGTGTGGTCCAAATTGACAAAATACAAGCGCTCATACAACTACACACACCAGCATTAAAAATATAAAAAAAAAAATATAAGAAAATGCAAACAAATTCAATCAAGCGAAATTTAACAAGATTTCCGTGAAGCGGCTGCCCTTTCTACCCATCTTCCCATCCACAATCTTTCCCT